CTTCCAGATGGGTTAAGTTTTCTTTTGGCAGCAGACAGAGACCCAGCAGTGCCCCCTTGACCATGAGCTGTGTAAGCGCTTGTCTACTTAAGTTCTGCCTTTCTGTTTTTCAACAGAAAACCCCTCTAACTTGGCAGACTTTGCAAGTATAAGGCAGCTTCTGAAATCTCTGTGAGCAATTTCACCCCCTTCTGCTCCCTTCCACTAGATTTCTTGGAGTTCCAGTCTACACTGAAGCTGTTCAGGTATACACCAACTATTAGTGTTCCAGGGAAATTTGTGTGTAGAACTTGGGGCTCACATTTTGTGGTTCCCTCCTTTCTAGGATTAATTTCCAGCTGCTATGAAAGCCATGAACTCTGGGCTCTGTCTCCTGAATTCAGTATGACTGCTACCTTCCACTTAGGCTCTATTCCCAGAATTGGTAAGTATTGGAAATTTCCCTTAGGAGAAAAGCTGGATACATATGGAGCTTGCCTAGCATGTGTCCCTTTTTTTAAGGATTATATTCTATCCAGTTTTTGCATGCTTGGGTTGTTCTCCATTGCTTTTGAATAATTTCCCTCAAGTTTTGTAACGGTTATGTCATCAGGAGGGTTACTCTGACATAAAACTATTTTGTCATGGTAGATCTGGCACACTCTTTTATGGATTTAAGTGTACATTGCCCTCAGAAGAGTAAGACAGGACTTTAAAACTTGACGTGATACGGAGGAGGGGTTGGGGGAGGGATGGAGTGGAAGGCTGGGTTAGCAGATGTGAGCTATTATACACGGAATGGATAAACACCAAGGTCCTACTGTAGAGCACAGAGAACTATATTCAGTATCCTGTGATAAACCGTAATGGAAAAAATATTAAAAAAAGAATGTATAAATATATGTACAACTGAGTCACTTTGCTGTACAGCAGAAATTAACACAGCATCGTGAACCAACTGTACTTCCATAAAAAAAAGCTGCAAAAGAAAATTTGACATGATAAATGATTTAGTGACTCAAATAAATAAGAGAAATTACAGTATATTGTGTTGGAATAAGCTTCAGATTCCAGGGTTGATGCCATTTTGAATATGTATGAGAGCTGGAAAATACACGGTGTGTGGACTCTTTGTTCCTTTGGCAGGAAACAGCACTACAGGGCAAAGTGTCCCTGGTGTGGAGACGAACTGTATTTGTAGGACATAATGTTGACACTTAAAAGCGCCTTCGAATCTGCAAGCATTACACTTTTGCAATGCTCATCCTGTAGGAATGCATTTCCCGCGCGTGCTTGTCAAGAAGCTTGGGTCAGATTCTCGGAAGATTTGAGACATTTGATGCCACCCAGGTGGCGGGAAGTAGAAAGCAAATATTTCTCTGTTAGTGCAGGGACAATGCATAGTAAACTTCTAGAAGCATCCCAAAGTGGAAGTCCATGGATATTTAAAAAATCAAACCAGAAGATGGCACCCTTTGAAAATTTAGCTTGGCAAATAAGAGGAAAAAATACAGAAAGGTGTTCCATCAATTCCAAAATGTAATGCAAGCTGGGAAAAGAACGGCATTTTATTAATGACCTGAAATGACATCTTAATGATGCTTTGAGGGATTTTTCTTGTTAAATTGTTTTCGGTTTTGAAAAAATTGGTAACAGAATCTCATGTGCTTTCTGGGAAAGTTGCAGACATTTCACAGTGTTCTAAAGAAAGTTTCAAAGGAAACTTTTTTTGTTGGTGTAAATAACAGGATGGAGTCAGAGACACCTTTCTTTTCATTCTCTCTTTACTAGGGAAGAATAGCTACTAGCTACAGGGGCAGGAAGTGAAATAAAGCTGTCAGCCCTGAGACTTCTTGTACTAATGTTACATGTAGGGGTAATTGACTTTGTAGCATCAATACCTAGCATTAAGGTTAATTACTTCTTAGAATCAGGAACCAAGACTGGCCAGTATAAGAACTCAGTTAAAATCCTGCCATGTTTAGAAGCTGTAACACGTAGAAATTTCTTTTGCTCTGACTCAGAGGGTATTCATATTTTGCACCCATATCTTGAAAATACGATAAGTCCCAAACACAGGCACACAGAATTTAACATTTACTTGGGTTGTTGCTATAGAACATTGGAAGATGTTTTCTCTCTTCCACATTTCCATATTCTTAGCCTTAACGGTGCTCTCCGTTGACTTGATTTCTGATGATGGAGTTTCATCTCTTAGGGCACTCCACCTCACCCACCATTTTTCCGGGACCCAGGAGAAAATTTTAAAAAGTAATATGTTGTTCCCAAATTTTGGGAACCCACCCTCTCAGTTTATAGTCTTCAGATATCCTTCTCTGCTCCAGGAATCTCCCTGGCTTTGTTTGGTCTACTACCGGCACATTGGGAAAGAGAATCTTAGTTTCATTATTATTCCTTCTCCAAATAAATCCACGTCCCTTTCACCCAAATACCTACCTTTGTTTGTTGCCAGGGAGCAAAGCGTTATTTGCTGATGGCTCACAGTATGTGTGTCGAAAGGGAAGAGAACAGGATATCTTATGAAGAAACCAAAATAGAAAGCGGGGCAGGTAGTCCAACTTGGTCATTGATCCCAAAGGACAAGGATGAGAAGGGAAATGCAGCTGAGAAATAAAAGACAGAGTCCAAAGTCAAGAGTGGAAGGCAGAGCTTGGAGAGGTTGTCTGGACGTAGGAACACTTTATGGATTCTCTAAGTTGCCTGGACCCTGGCATACAGGCAAGAAGTCCTCAAGGGCGCCCGTCTGGCTCAAGGCGGGAAGGTCAAAGTAGGACGATGAGGTCAGTTCATGTCCATATGTTGCCACAGGTTGACTATAAAGATAGAATTTGCCGGGGAATAGGGTGGGGAATACTTTTCTTCTCTCCCATCGATATCAGGCAATTTTCCGAGTCTCTGGTTACTGTCTGTTTCAAACCATTTTTGCTTGGCTATCAAAGGAGTCCAGTTTTCCACCCTGGAGACTTACAGTTTACTGCTCACGCCACAGTGAGAGGGTCCCTTTCAAAACATGTGCTCGCTTGAGTTAGGGCTCAGACTCTCCTGTGACTCTCCACCCCTCCCCTCTCCAAGCCCAAGTCGAAGCCCTTACAGCCGCCCCTCCTCCTGCGTCGTCCCTGACCCTGGCTCCTGCTTCTCTCCATTGCTCCGTCCATTGCAGCCCCCCAGCTGTGTCTTTTGTTCCTTGCATATGCCCGGCAAGGTCCCATGACAACATCCTTCCCCCACTCTTGCTTCTCCTCCTGGAAGAGTCCTGCTGGCGGTTAATTTCCTCACCATCTTCAAGTCTTGGCCCAGATCTCACTTGGTGCTCTAACCACCCTATTTAAAAGGGCGATTCGCTCTCTCTTCGCTCTTCATTCTCAATCCCCCTTTCTCTGCCTCCTGTTTTCTCTTCATACTTACCACCACCTAAGGTGTCCTTTACTTATGATGCCTAAGTGAAGTAACTCAGAGAAAGACAAATACCATTCGATATCACTTATATGTGGAATCTAAAATATGACACAGGGACTTCCCTGGTGGTCCAGTGGTAGAGAATCCGCCTTCCAATGCAGGGGACACAGGTTCGATCCCTGGTCTGGGAACTAAGATCCCATATGCCACGGAGCAACTAAGCCCGTGCACCGCACCTACTGAGCCTGCACGCCACAACTAGAGAGAAGCCCGTGCGCTGCAATGAAGAGCCTGCGTGTCACAACTAAGACCTGACATGGCTAAAAATAAAAAGAAATAAATAAAATTTAAAAATAATAAAAAATAAATAAAATAAAATATGCTTTAAAATATGACACAAATGAACTTATCTATGAAACAGAAACAGACCCACAGACATAGAGAACAGACTTGTAGTTGCCAAGGGAGAGGGGGCAGGGAGAGGGATGGACTGGGAGTTTGGGGTCGGTAGATGCAAACTATTACATTTAGAATGGAGGACAAGGTCCTACTATATAACACAGGGAACTACATCCAATCTCCTGGGATAAACCATAATGGGAAAGAACATTTAAAAATAATGTACATATGTGTGTAACTGAGTCACTTTGCTATACAGCAGAAATTAGCACAACATTGTAAATCAACTATACTTCAATAAAAATAATTTAGAAAATGGTGGCAATAATTATTGTTCCATTGGAAGGAATACTTTTAGGTGATGGGATAACTTTTCTTGAAGTTTACGTACATTCTGGGAATTTTTTTTTTTTGCGGTACGCGGGCCTCTCACTGTTGTGGCCTCTCCCGTTGCGGCGCACAGGCTCTGGACGCGCAGGCTCAGCGGCCATGGCTCACGGGCCCAGCCGCTCCGCGGCATGTGGGATCTTCCCGGAGCGGGGGACGAACCCGTGTCCCCTACATCGGCAGGCGAACTCTCAACCACTGCGCCACCAGGGAAACCCCAATATCGCTTATTTTTAAAATCTCTATTTCTTGTCTTTGAAGAGAAAGAGGGGTAAAGAGCATATTTATGCAAACACCCTCCCCAGTAACTAATGCAATATTAACTGAATTTTAAAAATCTCTAGCCAGTGCAAACCCTGCTACCTTGGACAGTTCTGTATCAGGAAAACTTTATGCTGCTAACTGATACATGCATCACATTTTTTTTTTCTTCAACTCAGGGAAGCATAAGCACAATCCTCACTTATTTTCTACTGCTTTTAAAATCTAATACAGGGGGCTTCCCTGGCGGTCCGGTGGTTGTGACTCCACGCCTCCACTGCAGGGGGCACGGGTTCGATCCCTGGTCAGGGAACTAAGATCCCACGTGCCACGCAGTGCAGCCAAAATAAACTAATAAATAAATTAATTAATTAAAAAAATAAAATAAAATCGTAAACAAGTGAGGTCATTAAATTGAACACATGCAAAAACAACTCGTGAATGCATCTCATTTCTTTATAACCTAATGAGTTTCCCCATGTATTAATGTGTAATACACAGGTAACTTACCAGAAGGCGGACTCTGGGAGACCCGTCACTGTCATCTTAAATTTTTTTCATTCCATTGTAATGTTTAATGATGTATACAAAAGGGGAGAAATAAACTACACAAATAAAAATAAACCATTCATTTGTAGTTTCTTCCTTAGAAATGAAAGGGGGTGTCCTCATATTTATTCCAATAACTGATGTCAACTCTTCCATCACAGAACGATTTGTTGTGACCTAAATTGGGTTGTTAACAAACAAATGCATTATGTTAACTGTAGAAGAAATACACAAGAAAACCATATTTTGTTTCTTTCCATTTTCATATAGAAGCATTTACATATTTCTATCAGCTTTTTAAAAATATGGTGAGATTCATAAAAAGGAATGAAATGGTGACATTTGCGGAGATGTGGATGGACCTAGAGATAGTCATACACAGTGAAGTAAGTCAGAAAGAGAAAAACGAATATCATATAATATTGCTTACATGTGGAATCTAGAAAAATGGTACAGATGAACTTATTTGCAAAGCAGAAATAGAGTCACAGATGTAGAGAACAAACTTATGGTTACCAAGGGGGGAAGGAGAGGTGGGACAAATTGGGAGCTTGGGATTGACATATATCCACTACTATATGTAAAATAGATAACGAACGAGAACCTACTGTATATAGCACAGGGAACTCTACTCAGTGCTCAGTGCTTCCCTAAATGGGAAGGAAATCCACAAAAGAGGGAATATATGTATACATATAACTGATTCACTTTGCTGTATAGCAGAAAGTAACACAACATTGTAAAGTAACTATACTCCAATAAAAAATTAATTTTAAATGTTTAAAAAAATTTTTTAAATATGATGTGTTAGATAGATAGACGAGGCTGGAGGAATAAACCACTCTCACAGTTCAGGCAAGAGATGCTAATGTCTTGGACAAGTGCTGGTGGCAGAGCCGAAGAGAAGTACGGAGCTTTGAGCTTAGAATTAACAGGGCTGGATGAGAGATGGGATGTGATGGGCGAAGCAGAGGAAGTGATCTCTGATAATTCCCAGTTAAGTGCATGGCTTTGACATTCACTGAGATAGAGAAAAAAATTTTAAAGACTCAGTCACATTTAGAGAAAAACACCCACATTCAGTTTGGAACATACTAGTTTGAATTGCTTATGGGGCATCAAAGTAAACAGCTACTTGGGACTACAGTAGAACAAACCTCGTCCGCCACCCGTGTTTGCAAATAAAGTTTTATTGGAACCAGTCACGCACATTGGTTTATGGCTGCTTTCACATTACAACAGCAGAGCTGAGTATTTGCAACAGAGACTGTCTGGCCCCCAGAGCCTAGAATATTTGCTATCTGGTCCTTTACAGGAAAAGTCTGCTGGTCAACAAGTTGAAGCAGGGTTCTTGGAGTTACCGGCATGTAAACTGTAATTAAATTTATGTAAATGGATGACATTGTGTAGAGAAAGTATATAGGGTGGAGAAATATGCGTTGGATAGAACCTTGTGGAACTACAGATTGAAAGAGGCGGGAGTGTAATGATGGATAAGATTGCAAGAAGACTGAGAAGGAATGGCTAGAAAAGTGAAAGAAAGCCAGGTGAATACTGATGTTTAGTTAAAAGATCAGGTAAGACAAGGAAGGAAAATTGTTGATTGACATGAGAGTTGTTACTGGCCTCAGAAAAATTCATTTTGGTGGTGTGGTGGGAATAGAAATTATAATGAGTTGAGTCGAGCCTTAAGTGAAGGCAATCCTTCCAAGAGGTGGAGACGTTACAGGAAAGGAGAGTATTTGCTTGAGGAGGAAACATGGATGAGAGAAGGTTTTGGTAATAAGGGAAGAAACTGATCATTTTAAATACTGAAGAGAAGTATCTAGTTGAAAGGGGGAAGTTGAAGAAAGATGACACAGAAGGGAAAATCCGTTGTGCAACTTTCCTGATAGTGTTGAAGGGATAATGTTTCCAGCCTTTGAACTGAGGAAAAGGGTGGGTGTAGAGAGGAGTACGGCCATAGTTTGTCAGGGTTTGTGTTGGGAAGTTGGGGAGTGTTCCCATCCTACAGGTTCTATTTCCTCTGAGAATGAGAGGCAAAGCATCATCTCCTAAGAGTGTAGGGGTAGAGGGTGGAAGAGGAGGGAGAGACTACAAGTGAGGGAAAGGATACAGAAGATTTAAAATAGGCAGTTACTTCTATAATTGCAGCATTAATTGTGGTTTGAAAAGCCACAAACCCTCTTTGCCAGTATGTTGTCAAGGAACAAAAAATTTCATCACGCATAGCCCAACAATGTTCTTTAAAGAGGAAGAAAAACATTCCCATCATTATGCACTGGAATCAATTAATGGAATTAAAACACTAACTTTGGCTCTGAAGTGAAACATCTAAATGTCTGCTCCAAATCCATGGTTACACAATCTAGAGCATTTCTAAAGCGCTCTGCAAACCTGGAAGAAAGAAGAATATTATTAAATGGTTGCCACAGTAGTGAGACTCATTCTGTAACAAAAACTTACCAGTAAGTTCAGGAGCAAAAAGTATATTACTTCCTTTCTTGATTTTATTAATTTTTCTATCAGTCATTCCCAACAGGGGATTCGATGAAGTAGCAAAAAAGACTGGAATCAATTCTCATGTAGTTACCTGAGTATTCAAAGTGTTCTCTCATAACTGGGATTCTATGTCCCCAGCTAAACTTCAGCCAATATGAGTATCATTAAACACGATTCCCACCATTTCAGAGTAGTTTTTTGCGAGTACTATGTCCATGGTTTCTTCATCAGGAGTCCCAACGATTGTTCTTCCTGCCATGTGTAAAAAAATATAATTAATCATATAAACTTATTACTAGAGGACACAAAACCAAGTTGCAATCGCTTAGGGTTCCCATAAAATTATTGGTGTTATATACTATCCCAAAGAGGTGCCTCTAAGTTAAGGGCTGAAAGTCTTTCCTATTGTTTTAAGTTCAGTGTGAATACGTGAGAAGATGTGAATGATACACCATTGACCCTCAACAGTGGAGGTTTCAACTGCACGGGTCCCCTTATATGTGCATTTTTTTCAAAAGTAACTGCATTACTACACTACCCAGGAATCGGTTGAATCTGAGGAGGCAGAACGGTGGGTGGAGGAACCTCAGATGCTGAGGAAACACAGATACAGGGGGCTGACTATAAATTGCTTGGATTTTCGACTTCCTGGAGGGTGGGCTCCCCTACACCCCCTGTTGTTCAAGGGTCAACTGTATTGTTTTTAATAAACCAACTGGCAACATATTTTTTAGCGTAATCGTAATCCCCATTTAAGTAAATAAAAACTGAGTTAGTGTGCCTATGTGTATAGTGTCTATATATGTGACCATGTGTATGCTTGTGTGCATACTATCCAGAAAAGATACACACAAATTTATAGGGAAGGAAATGGTGGCTAGGATGAGGGCAAAAGCTCTCATTGTTTGCTTCATACAAGTTTATATTGCTTAACTTTTTTAGGCTGGCTATTACTTTGGTAATTAAAATAATTTTAAAATTAGAAAGAAAAAGTATTTTAAATAACCAATAAAAATACTTGAGAATTTGGTGGGGTTTTTCCCTGCCAAGATTAGAAACTGATTTGTCTCATGTGAAAATAGTATGCCAGTAGGAATAAATGGCATGCAAAGAACCAGAGTACAAAAATCAGAAGTAAAGTTAGAACCCACAGAGAGTTTTTGGAGTCAAGGACACTACCTTAAGAATTAAGCTCACACAACATTTATAATGAATGAGTTTACAATCTGCAGAAGTAATCCGCCCAACAGGTGGTTAATAAGTCCGCTAATAATTTACGAAGTCCAATTTATGGCCTCCTTTTTAATACTTTTTTATATTTGCATGTTTTATGTCCTAACACTTTTATTCCTTTTAGCACAGTGTTTAAATCCCAGGCAGGATGATGTCTACGTGAAGAAGAAACAGATACTCATTTTCATAGGGCGGCTGCATCTTTCAAAACTACTCAGCCTTCCCAACATAGAGTAAAAGGCCGTGAAACTTTTATGAGGCCAATGCAAATTTCACTGATTTTTCTCTAGAGGTTATACAAATCCTGTCAAGGTCAGAACAGCAAGAGTTAGAAGGATACAGACCGAGACAGTGAAAGAGGCGCTGTGACCAGGCCGGGCTGGCCTGGTAGCTGGCATTGGGTGTTTCTATAAGGAAAGGAGAGAGTCCGATGAGCCCTGAGACTCGGGGCTGGAAGCACAGATGGCTTGCTGGGGACCACACGGAGAATGCACGGAGCGCCAGGTCCGGGCAGAATCCACACTGGGCAGGAGAGCCCGTGCCCAGCGTGGGTAAGCGAGGCGTGCATAAGTCAGGGTTCCAGAAGCTGCAATGAAGAAAAAAAGAACGGGGCAAAGTGGCCAGGGGTAAAGTGTGCAGTCATCTAGCATAGGGTCCAACCTTGTTTTCCTGCTCCAACCTTACTTTTTGGAGCATGCAACATACGCACAATGATAATGACTCACAACACCACAGATTTCCAGGACGAGAAGGTGGAAGGTGTGGATGCTCTTTAAAAAGCCCCCCGTTAAATCTATTTCCCTTGGAGAGGTGCCCTTACTTGTAGGTCCACAGCAACCCCTCCACCGCATATGAAATGAGGATCCTGTAGCCAGTTGAAAACCACTAACCCACAGGCTGGGTAAATAAACTCAATTTGCAAAACAAACTTCAATTTAAACACAAATACGTTGCATGATAGTGAAACTGCGGGTCACTGAACAACACTCCTTTCATAAAGGAAGCCAAAGCCATCTTATCCATTAGCCTCCGTGTAGGCCACCACCACCAGATCAAAGTCATTAAACTTATCCGCACGTCCCAGGACTTGAAGAGGCTGTTCATGAAAATGAGTAGCTTTGAAGAGTGCCGAAAAGAAGCACAAAGAGAGCCCCAGAAGCAGCACTGTGGTCCACTCCTCCAGCACATGAAAGAAGAAAAATGAGCCAAGTTATCATGTGGTCCAGAACAGTGAGAAACAGTCAAACACATTTTAAGACAGAAAGTATTGTCACTGAGCATGGTGTCATTTCACCCTCCAACTTCCTTCCTTTCCCAGTTACTATCTATCCTTTAAAGAAAACACCATTTCAAAAAACATACAACTTTGAGATAATATCAAAAATGTCTATTGATCTTAATCTAGAAATACAGCTCCCCTAATAGTAGAACCACTGCTGATTGTATGCCCTCATATTGATGTAATATAATTACATAGCATCCCATAGGAGATATTCTTGTCCAAAGGGTTTAACCTGAAGTCAAAATCCAATTTTTTGATCTAAATTCTGTTTGCAAGAAATGTAGGTGGTTGTAAATCAACTACACTTCAATTTAAAAAAATTGCTTTAATAAAAAATAAATAAAAAAGAAACGTAGATGGGAAAGGAATGAGTTAAATCACAGAATGCAGAAGCGATCAGGTAAATACAGAACGTGGGTATTCAACAAGAGAACAGTTTTGGTCTGGTTGGTGCCTCGCTTGAACAAACCAACTTTAAGAGACGTTTGGGGGCAATTTTAGGAAACTGAATTTGGACACGGAATTCGATGATGCTATGCAATTATTGCTAACTTTATAAAGTGTACTAGCGGTCATGAAGGAGAATATGCCCTTAATTTTCGTAGATGCCAGCTGAAGGCTTTAGCAGTCCAGTGTCATATATTTTAAGAGGGGAGTTGAGGGGAGATGGGGAGAGGAAGCCAACATGGCAGGATGTTAGCAGGTGGGTGAACAGGATAGGATGTGAGTTCATTGGACTAGCATTTCTGCATTTTGAGATTTTAAACATTATTAATAAGTTTTTTTAAAGGTTACGTTGGGTGATCCCTGTAAGTGTACCCTTTATCAACACAGCCACTAAAATATTAGAAGTGAATTGCTTTAGGAGCTAAGGATGGCGTGAACTCTGCTAGCTCCCATCCAAATGTTATTGGCAACCTAAATGGGAAAAGAATTTGAAAAAGAATAAATATATGTCTACAAAGATATGAATCACTTTGCTGTACACCTGAAACTGACACAACATTGTAAATCAACTATACTTCAGTATAAAATTAAAAAAAAATTTTTTTTAAATAAAAAAAATTTTTTTAATAGAAAAAAGAAATGTTATTGGCTCTTTTTCAACAGAACACAGCCTCTTTGTGGCCAAGGTGGCCCCAGATAGACCTCATGGGAACATACAGCAAACCTCTTTGTGCTGATGTGCATGTCCTTATACTAGAAACTAAAGAGAGCACAAAGATGCTGACAATCAGTGATCTGGATCCTGAAACCACTCTTATGTTTGTAAAAGTATAGTCTTCAAAACAAATCCCCCCAAAGTTCTCTACTGTTGCTCATAATTTGTTTCCCCCAGCCCTACCAATTAACAGAATCTTATCAAAATGTCCCCAGTAGAGTGCTATGATTCAACCATTAAAATCTATTTCATTTTGCCTGGCTTTTTAAAATTTCTTTTTTTCCTACTACTGAAGTTTGCCCAGGGTAAGTCTGAATCACTCCACAGATTCAAGTGGATTACTTATTTGGAGAATGGCTAGCTCTATTCAATAAAATGTTACTTACTTTGTTTTTCAGGAACTGACATATGAGCCCATTAGTTAATTTTACCTTTTGACATAAATATTACCCTATTCTGCAACATTTGCAAAATATTATGTTTACAGTCCCAAATCAACTAGCCCATAGAATGCGTGAACGTCAAAAAGCAATAAAAACGGCATACTATGAAATGATGGATTCTCATTCACTAAATATGGTAAAATATATATTGTGAACCATACCAATAAGCTCTCTTTTTTCATTCTCCATTTTTAAAGAAAATTCTTAGACAGAAGGGCCTGAGTTTGTTGACACACGTGCCTCTCTTTTTAAATCATTTTGTCCTGTTCATCAAGAGAAGAGACAGTAAATATCACACAGCAACAAGCAGGCAAGAAAAAGAGCAAAAAAATAAAAAAAAACAAATAAATCCAGTTACCAAAAATAGCTTCTGAACACTTTGAAAACATACTCCCGGATGCCCTCGTTGAATGCCTTATTTGACATTACAGTAACACACATTCACTAGTTTTTAAAGAGTATAAAATATTAATGAATGTAAAATATCCTGCCTGTGGGCCTTTCTCTCCAGGCTTTGGTTATGAGCTAGATGAGGGCTATGGTGTTTCTTGTCTCAAAAGTAAAGTTTTCTGCCACATCTTCACATTACAACAACCTAGAGTAAATAACTAACACAACATCGTAAAGCAGCTATACTCCAGTAAAAATTTTTAAAGAAATAAATAAAGTAAAACGGAGAATAAGATGTTAGTAATGTTTAGAATCCAAAACAGACTTTGCCCTTGACTTCGTTTTTTTAAAAAAAAGTTGTAACAGAAGTAAAACCATCTCCAGTTTTCTGTCCGTCAGAGATTTGCCCACAAGCAGCAGTCTGCACTTCGAAAGGGTCGCTCTTGCGTGCTTATTTGATGACATCTAGGAAACCACTGAGTAAAGGAAAGCTGAATCACTTTACAGTCATTCTTAGAATCCCAAAGAACTCATTTCTCCTCTTTAAACTCATGGGTCTCCCTTTAAGAAGTAAGTATGTCAGATACATACAGATGAAAACCAGAAACATTGGTTAGCTAGTATGATTGGAGTATATGATACGTGTAGAATCATGATGGGTAACAGGGAATCCTTCTGTGTTTTCAATTTAAAATTCCGGAGATGATCATTTGGTATCACAGCTCTGGTGACTTAAACGCATTTGAATAAATGTTGATGTTATAAGCAAATTACAATGTTTAGAGAACTTGCTGGATTTCCTTTTTTTTTTTTGATAAAAAGCTAAAGCTACCAAATACCAAAATCATCTCTAAATTCTAACGTGAGAAAGTGTCTAAGGAAAAACCCCCATCTTCATGAAAAAGAACCCACAGGGAGAAGCAACTTGTCCTAACGCACACACATTCCCAAGAAGTTAAACTCCGCAAATTCTCAGACGGCCAACCTGAGAAGTGTAAATCTGACACTCAACAATGTTAATTATATTTACACACACTTCTGAGTCTATCTTCCATTTTACTATCATGCTAAAATACGATTTTACTGAGTTTAAAGAATTAAGTCACTCATTAGGTCTACAATATAAAATACAGAATAATTTAGAAGTATCAGAACAATATGACAATTTAACAATGTCAGTCAAGACGCTTGGCACTGGCTATGTCCTTTGTGCCTTAATTACCTTATACAGGGTAAAAGGTAAAAGCAACAAGTTTGACTTACTGTCAGGAAAATAGGAGTGAGGACCTGAGAAGCACCTTTGATTCACTGGTTTCTTTTTGTCCAGAAGAACAGTTAAGAATCCTTCAAGGACTTTTTCACAAATGCTTGCCTCTTTTAAAGCTGTTTTCATTCAGTTTGGCTTCTGAAAACAGGCCATGGTCTGTGTGTAACAAGCCTGCCAAACACATTCTTTACTTGGTAAGTTGTTTTCTTCCCAGGTCTTTCTTCTAGTCCAATTGTGCCACAGGAAGGATGCAGCTGTGGATTGGTCCCTAAGTGTGTGTCACGTGGTATTTGTTTATTACTCTACCTTTCTGGCATATGCAAAAAAGTGATCAGATTCAAAAAGGGAGAAACAAAACCCCCAGTTCTGAGTAAGTCTATATTAACTTTGAATGATTAAAAAGTCAACAGCCAAGACGAGAGCGAGCAGATTCAAAGGAAAGGACGTTGAACAGAGAAAGAAAGTGAGGATCGCAGAAATCACAGTAATTTACACGAGAAAACTTTACCGAAGACTTCACTGCACTTCAGTGAAGTGGTTCTTGGTACTGGCTGATTCCTATGTGCTAGAAGGTATGCTAAGGGTTTAAAATGAATTATTTTATTTACCCTCAAAGCAAAGCTGTGAAGCTGGTACTATATTTGTACACAGTTCACAGGTTCGAAATGCAAGACTGAAAGTCGAAGTAATTTGCAGATGCTCAAATAGAGGCAGAGCCAATATGTGAGTCCAGAGCAGTGTCTGGACTCCAAACCCACTCACGCTTAACTACCACTGTGAAAACTATGCTAATGAAAACGATATCTAACATTCATTTAAGTAGCTTAAGAGTTTAGACTAGATGGGCAGAATATTTTTTTTTTTAGCTACAAATGCTGGACGTTCTCAGAATTTAAATAACCCCTGTTTATCAACCCTGAAAATCTGCTTACACGATTTTAACTGTAATCTATACATTTCTTGGGATGTGTACACAAGTTAATAACCACTCATGAAAGTGAAGGAGAGAGGGTGAAGCACTCAGAGACTATTCAGGTGATCACCATTTTCATTAAGAATATGGAGATAGGGCTTCCCTGGCGGCTCAGTGGTTGAGAGTCCGCCTGCCGATGCAGGGGACGCGAGTTCGTGCCCCGGTCCGGGAGGATCCCACATACCGCGGAGCGGCTGGGCCCGTGAGCCATGGCCGCTGAGCCTGCGCGTCCGGAGCCTGTGCTCCGCAATGGGAGGGGCCACAACAGTGAGAGGCCCGCGTACCGCAAAAAAAAAAAAAAAAGAATATGGAAATAAATGTTTTCTTTGACTTTAATTGCACTGCCTCCCTGTTGTGAGTCACATTTCTCTTCTTGTTTTCCCACTCATTGCTTGAAGTAAAAGTCCATGAACAGGAAAACACCAAATATTTAACCTAGCTCCAACCCCATACATTATTGACAACATTTATTTTAACGGGTGGAAAAAACAACTAAAACGATATCATAATACACACACACTTTCTTAGTAACTAAACTGAAAGGATAATTTTTCTACTTCTGTAACTTTAAGGATTGTAATCTCCAATATGGTGCAGTGAAGCGGTTACAGGTTTAGGAGTCTGAGGCCTACATTCCAAGCTGTCGCTCTCCGGCTATGTACCTTGGACAGGTGACAAAAAGTCCACAGGCCTCTGTTCCACGTTTATAACAGGAGCCAACCTTTCCTGTTCCAGGCCTCTGTGCATTGATGATGGTGCAGCACTGCTACAGGTCACAATGCTTACATTCTCCAAACCTGGATTTACGCATGACCATGCTACGTGACGTTAACCCAGCCCCCCTCGGTACATGTCTCAGATATCTAATTTTTTTATATTTCTTTTTTTAGTTGAAGTATAGTTGATTTACAATATTGTGTCAGTTTCAGATGTACAGCAAAGTGATTCCATTTTATATATATATATTTTTCTGATTCTTTTCCATTATAGGTTATTACAAGATATTGAATATAGTTCCCTGTGCTCTACAGTAAATTCTTGTTGCTTATCTAGTTTACAAATAGTAATGTGTATCTGTTAATCCCGTACTGCTGGGAGTTCCCTGGCGGCCCAGTGGCTGGGACTTGGTACTTTCACTGCCGAGGGCCTGGGTTCCATCCTGGTTGGGGAACTAAGAGCCCACAAACCACTCATCCAAACAAACAAACCAACAGCTCATACTCCTAATTTATCCCTCTCCCCCCGCCTTCTCCCTTCGGTAATCATAAGTTTGTTTTCTACGCCTGTGAGTCTGTTTCTGTTTTGTATATAGATTCATTTGTGTTAATTTTTAGATTCCACATGTAGGTGACATCATATAACATTTGTCTTTCTCTGACTTACTGCACTAAGTATATATTCTCTAGGTCCACCCATGTTGCTGCAAATGGCAATATTTCATTTTTCTTTACGGCTGAGCAGTATTCCGCCGCATGTATGCACACCTTCTTGATCCAGTCCTCTGTCGATGGACACTTAGGCGGCTTCCACGTCTTGCCTACTGCGAACAGGACCGCTTGCCATGAACACTGGGGTGCGTGCATCTTTACGAATTAGAGTCTTCTCCAGAGGTACGCCCGGGAGTGGCACTGCATGATCACATGGCGGCTCCGTCTTTAGTTTCTAAGGGCCTCCACGCTGGTGTCCACAGCGGCTGCACCCGTCTGCATCCCCACCAACCGTGCAGGAGGCCCCCTTTCCCAGCTCTCTTTTCTCAATCGTCTCCTTAGCCTTCTTCCTCCCTCTGGGTCCTGGGCCCGAGGTCTGACCCTTTGCTCCCGGCAGGTGCACCTACCGTCTCCCCTGCAAACCCAAGCCCCCGGGGGAGGGGCAGCTCAGCACCCTCCGTCTTGGCTTCACGGAAACGTCCAGAGACGATCGGCCCGTCCGTCCTCCCCCGAGTCAGAGGCCCAATCTCAGCCGAAAGCACTTGATTGCTGAAACGTGCCAGCCAGCCGCTGAGCCTCTGGGGGGAAGTCGTAACCTTTTGCTGGTCGAGGGTCTGGAATATTCGAGAATCACCAGAGCGCGGGGCAGGTACGCGCGGGGCGGGGAAGGGGCAAGGGGCGGGGCCTCCGCTGCCAGAGTCTTCCAGGCCTGGGCAGGGGCCTCAGTCGCGTCCTCACGGCCTCAACGACACACCACGCGTTCTGTTCGCTCGCAGGGCCGCACCCTTGGGAGTCCCGCCGGGTGGGGCCCGCGGACAGAAGGCACCCTCCAGGGTGGGGGAGGGGCGGGGCGGCTCGCGGGTCAACCAGAGGTCACGTCCTCCCCGTGACCTCCCCCCGACCCTAGCGGCTGTTGGCCCTCACAGCTGACGTTTAAGAGAATTCACTTCTGTATCACCGTGAATCCCGCCCTCCCCGCAACGTGATGAAACTCGTGTATTTGGGTCACTTTTACGTCTTTCAAGAAAAGTCACATGTTTTGCCCTCAAAGTCTTCCGTGCCTTTTGCAAGATGCGTTTCTGCGTAGCACAGAGTTTCCGTTACAAACGTGATAGGATCTTTTTTTTTTTTTAACATTTTCTAATTAATTGTTGCTGGCCTGGAGGAGCAGGGTTCATTTTGCACGTTAGTTTTGAGCTCTGCGGAGCTCTCTTGTTTATTCTGATTGGAAAACTTGGGAATTTTCTAAACCAAACGTTAATCTGCGTAGATTGACAGTTTTGCGATTTCTGTTTTCTAGCAATTCTCACGATTCTCGGAAGTTGAATTCCTGGGATAAAGCCGATTGTTCCTGATGTAGTCTCACCCTCTGACTCTTTTATAATATCCTGTTTCTTTTCACGGTGCTGTATTAATTGTATCTTTCGTAGTTCGTATTTCCTTCTATAGTCTCCGCTTCCTCCAAATTGCCTTTTTTTCTCCCTTTGCTCATTAATTTTAAAAGCACACAGCTAAGCTATGCTCAGATTTCTGACCTAGAGAAACTGTGAGTTGATTAATGTACATTGTTTTAAGATGCTACATTTGGGGATGATTTGTTATGCAAAAATGGATAAGGAATACACCGGTTACTTCTGTGTAACTCCCCAAAACACTCTAAGCCCTGTAAAGTCAAGACTCTGTATCGTTAGCCTCCGTTTCCCTAGCTCCTAAGCTAGTGTCTGGCCCAATGTAGGAATTTAAGAACAAAAGAAAATGAATTTAATCATTAACAGACTGACCCACTACAAAGCTTGTGACTGAATTTCAGTCCAGCCTAGGGGCTGTTCACTATACCCCAGTCACTCAGACACCTCAGGGTGATGTAAGACTTCTTTACCACGGTAAAAGAATCTTCCAATTATGGATTCTTCACAAATGTGGCTTATTGAAGTGAGCGAACGGCATCTAAGTCAGGTAGAATTAATTTTCAGGAGCCTCCCGGGGGAAGTTGCTAAAAACTCCAGAGAACGGTTTCCTTCTTCAGGCCTTTCACAACTTTTGTCCAGACCCCTCTGGTTTCGCTTGAATCAGGATCTTCTCGAAGCAGGCAATTTGGATACATTCAAGCCTGAAAATTCTCGTTTTACTGTGCATTCACAACCGACCACTGCTGGCTGATTACCTTCAGCTGACTTGGCAGGACGACAAGACAAATGGTGGGACTTCAGCCACCACTGGCCACCTTCGGGGCAACGTGCCCCCCCCCCCCCGTGTGTGGGAGTGCGTGAACACCCCTGAGAGGTCTGCCTGTCACGCATGGGGCTCCCACTAGTGAATTCAGTATTCTGCAAGTATCGCAAGACAGAAGCCAGATGCCATGACAGGGCTAAGTGTCACTTTATGGCAGGAAGGGATGGAGAAAGTAAGCCCTGATGTCACACTGCCTGGGTTCAAATCCCAGCTCAGCCAATTAGGAACTCAGTGTCACTGGGTAAATCACTTAACTTCTCTGGCCTCAGAGTTTCCAGCTGTCAAGTGGAAGGTGAAAATAAACATCCTTCTTTCTCGGGGTTGATGTAAGGATTAAATGCGATAGTCAACGCCCGTGGTTCTCAGGCTTGAGAATCCAATAAAATGACACTTTTGACTCATCTTGATGCTTTCTCCCGCCTGAACATTATCATGGACATTCTTAAGTCCTCATTTATACGGGAAGAAGATAAACTGAGTTTTCTCACATGTGTGGGTATCACTAGTTTTACTATCAGGGGGAGCAGTAAAACTCAGACTGTGATTATATCTTTATTGCCAGTGGCCCCCGGAGAACCTGTTTCCTGGAGGTTCTGTGTTCCCGTCTCTGCCCATCCATCTCCCCATCATGCCGGTTGCCAATAACA